ATTTGTATCATAACCCCGCCAATCTCACGCACGTTCAATGCAATGCAATGTCCTGAGAGCCAACAAATCTCCAAATACATCCTTTTTTTCTTCTTCCGTTATTAAAATCTCATTTTCTTTATAGGTCTTGTCATTACGCTTTTTTGGAATCGGTGACAAAAAGGAAGATATGTTTTCCGACAATTTTACACTTATTATGCTCTTTCCTCACAAGGCCTTTCTCCAGCATACTTGGTGAACGACCGTCAATCACTTTCTTACGGCTAATCACTTGTTGCTTGTCTTGGATGAGGATGAGAGGTTCTGTAAGTAAGAATGAGTCAGCGAATTTGGCATTCTGCAGGTTGTGGTAGGCGATACATTCTGGTATGGAATGATTAATGTTTTTAACAAATTCGTTCCAGTTTTTTTCGTTGATTTGCTTATCCGTCGAACGGACGGTAAATACAGGTAAAAACTTGAGTGACATATCTTTCTGGTTGTATCTTAGCGGGACAAGTTGGGAAAGCAAACAACTGCATGGATCGGTGGCACCATTTGCAATTGATTTCTGGTAGATCGCCCATAGCCGAAATACGAGCACTGAGATGGTCAACCTCTCATTTTGATCCGGTGAGATCGCGTTGTCTAGGGACTCGAGAACCCTGATGGGTGGAAGCGCGTCAAGGTTCCGATGAGAGTAAATTTCATGAAGAGTGAGAAACGGAAGCTTGAGCCTCTTATTCCCATTTCCATCGAGAAAAATGAGCTCCTCCTTCTCCAATTCCTGCGAGGATAGTATAAAAGTTAGGTGCATCTAGGAAGCATACGATTATTAATATTTGAACGTACTAACAGTACCTCAATTTTACGCTTCTTATTAATACCGATTGTGTCTGTTCGATCAACAGGCCACCCAAACAAAGTGTATGCCACCAAGAAGGGGATTATTTCAAGATTATCTTTTGATGTGAAGTGGTCGAAGTAACGTTGATACTTTTCATTGATATGTTGTTTCGTTCTCTTGAGGAGCTCTTGGCAATGTTTTGGTTGATATTGGCATTCTTGTAAGAAGTAACGTAATCCGCTTTGGTAGAATGTGTTACCAAACGCGACTTCCTTATTAGCAACAGCTGATCCAATGACACTCATTTGGAAGATCATAGCTTCGAGAAAACGGCCGACGACACCAAGAAGCTTAATTATGTATTTCAAATGTTCAGAGAGCTCATTGATCCTACCAACAAAAATTTCAATAAAATTGTTGCAAGGTTACAAAAATATACAGCTCACAACAGATACTCACTTTTTAGTTTCATCAACCACCTGACAAATATATAAGGTTAGATTAGCTCAGTATCAACTAACAGAAAATGCCAATAAAATCATAACCTACCCCCCGGTTGGCTAGTTCAAGCAAAACTTCTTCAGCATGCTCGAACTTGAGTAGTGGTAGGGATATATCTTCGGTTTTTGCATTACTTGACTTGACTGTATTAAACAGAGCGCTCGCATGGGTCCCGGTCAAGACAATAAAGAGAAAATATTTATTCGCGATTGTCCTAGCGAGAGACCTGAGAACCTCCCTGAGCCATTCACTATTTCCATTCT